GGTGCTGGCTGGTTGGCTGCCTCCTCCTTCCACCTTTGTTCCATGGGGGTCCCCAGTCTATTAGCAAACTGGGAGGATGGGCCCTCCTCAGTGTCTGTTCCACATGCCAATCACTCCTGGAACCGCCCTCACAGACACCCAATAGGTGGGCTTTCCCAATCTCCTAGGCATCTCTCAAGCCAATCAAGTTGAAGATGCAGATGAACCAACATAGAAAGACAGAAGATGGCAATGTAGGGAGAGGGAGTTGGGAAGAGGACAGGGGGAGGCAGCAGACTAGAGCATGGGAGAACTTTGTTCAGAGAGCCCTGCTGGCTGGTCCTCTGTGGACATCCAACGTGTTAGCAGCCTCTTTGTGTTCCATGCTCTGCATCCTCTCCCTGGCCTGACAAATAGGACCCCTGCAGATTTGGTCAGAACAAGCAGGCAGGGGTGAGGAGGAGGGGAGGGGAGGAAGAGGGTGGACAGAGGGGTGGAGTGGGGGGAGGGGGAGGGATAGAATATTTGTGGATGGAGGATTTAGGGTGTGGTGTGTGTGTGTGTGTGTGTGTGTGTGTGTGTGTGTGTAGAGGAGACCCAGGGCTTGAGCTGGCAGAGGCCAGGCCAGGGAGGATTGAACAGGCTGTTGAGCTGAAGCAGGGTGGACAGGGGGCAGTAAAGCTCCAGGACCCTGGGTTATTTTTGGGCTGCACTGGCCAGGAGCTGGATAGAGTAGAAAACAGAGGGCCTGGGGAGACAGGATTGTGGTAGGTGTGGTGGGGCTGCAGACATCTGTGCAGCCCCCTTTGTGGGACAGAGAATGGAGGAGCAGTCTCCAGCAACCTCTGTTTTGGGGCCATCCTCGTCCATGGGGACCCACCAGATGCTACCCCTGTCTAGGGGCCACCAAACATCCTTTAGGCCTTCTTTCCCCTGAAGAGCCTCTCCCTCCTCCCCTGGCTCTGAGATCCCTGAGTGCCCCACCTCTGTTCCAGGACAGCTCGGAAATACTTAGTTCTGGTTCTTGGGTAGCCAAGCCTAAGCAAGACAGCCTAAGCAGAGTGGCTCAATATGGGGGAGTCATCTAGCTTGCAATCTTCAGTGCCTCAGGCCCTTTGCCCTTCTTAGGTATCCCATTAGCAAAGGGAGAAAGAGGTGACCAAATCCCTCCCATCCCACCTTCCCTGTCCCTGCCACACCAATACATTCCCTGCTAATGTGGTTCTCCTTTGCTTCTACCCTGGCTCCTAGACACTTGGATGTTAAGGCCATTTGTGGGACAGAAACCATCTGGCACCGGCTTTGGTTGATCCACTACTCACTCCTGTGGCCACAAATGCAGGCTAGGGTGTGGGGACATCTATCAGAAGCCTAAGAATGAAAGATGCCACAGAAGGGGGGAGAGGGAGCAGAGGCCTGGATGGGAGAGGACAATTCCCACATGCCTGTCTAGGGCTCTAGGCCCTGGAGGATCAAGGGAAGAGGTAGGGTCAGGGCTGCTGTGGCCTGGCTGCCAGCTTCAACCTCCCTGTCTGGAAGAATCCATCTCCCACCTACCATGTAACACCTGCCACCTCTAAAGAGCAGCTTGAGGGGAGCTCAGGCCACAAGAGGAAGGTCACCAACAGCCATGGGGTTGTGGGGAGGGATGGCGCGGAAATTTCAAAATTGTTCTCCAAGCCCTTGAGGAAGTCTGGCTTTTAAAAAAAATATAGGTGGGCACTGGTGGTTCACGCCAGTAATCCTAGTTACTCAGGAGGCTGAGATCTGAGGATCACCATTCAAAGCCAGCTCAGGCAGGAAAGGCCGAAAAACTCATCTCCATTAAACTACCAGAAAACTTCAGAAAACCAGAAGTGGGGCTGTGGCTTAAGTGGTAGAGCCCTAGCCTTGAGCTAAAGAGCTGGGGGACAGTGCCTAGGGCCAGAGTTCAATCTCCATAGCTGACAACAACAACAACAAAAACTATGGGCTGGATGCTAGCTCACACCTATAAATCTAGCTATTCAGGAGGCTGAGATCTAAGGATCACAGTTCACAGCCAGTCCATGTAGGAAAGTCCATGAGCACCAAAGAGCTAGAAATCCAGGTGAATGGGAGAGCCCTGGACTTGAGTGAGAAAAGCTTAGGGCACAGTGCTAAGGCCTGAGTTCAAGCCCCAGTACCGGGAAAAGGGAAAATTAGTATGTGACTCAATAAGTCTTCTTTTCAGTGGTACTGAGCATTGAACTCAGGGCCTGCCACTTGTTAGACAAACACTCTACCTCTTGAGCTAGAGTTTTGCTTTTAGTTTTTAGATAGACTCTCATGCTAGCTTGCTTCAAATCAAGATCCTTTTACTTCCACATTTCAAGTAGGTGGAATTACAGGTATGCAACATCATGCCCACAAGTGTGTATGTGTGTGTATGCGTGTGTGTGTGTGTGTGTGTGTGTGTGTGCACGCATGTACGCATGGGACAGCTTGAATTCAGGGTCTGGGCACTGTCTCTAAGCTTTTTTGTTCAAGGCTAGTGTTCTACCACTTGAGCCAAAGCTCTACTTCTAGCTTGATGCTGATTAATTGGAGAGAAGTCTCACAGACTTTCCTGCCTGTTCTGGCTGCAAAACCATGATCTTCAGATCTTAGGCTCCTGAGTATCTAGGAATACAGAACTGAGCCACTGGAGCCTGGCTCCATGCCCAGTTTTAAATTTGTCCTTTTCCTATTTTCTGTTCTACCTGTAGAATCCAACTTTGCCTGGTCCCAAGTCAGGCAACAAGCAGACCAAAAAAGCCAAACCTACAGGTAAGCAAGCCAGCTAGAAGTGAGGTAGGTCTCACAGTATGAGGGGAGCTGACTGACTCAGTTCCAGGACCTGAGAAAGCAGGCAAGAATGCTGATGGACACAGGAAGGAAGTTAGAGCCCCTTCATTTGCATGCTTTCTAAAATCTTAGGTTCAGTGTAAGGGGGGGAGTTTCAATTTTTAGTGAAGAAGGCTGACTTCCTGGAGAAAGTAGACTCTGAGGAGAATTACAAAGAAAAGAAGGTCTAATGCGGGGGGGGGGGAGTCAGGAAGGTTGGGAAACTGGAAGCCACACAGAGAATAGACCGGACTGAAAATAAGCAGAAGATTGTAATAGGACAGGGACTAGATGTGGAGACCATTTGTCCTTGGCAAGATGTTAATTAGAAACAAATTGCCTTCATTTTTGGGGATAGGAGGTATGGGCCCCTCAAAAAGAGAATGAAGGGGAAATTTCTGGGCAGTGAATCTGTGGATGCCTCTGCACCCATCTCTGAGAAGGAAGAAGAGCCAAGGAATCTGGACCAGCCAGGTGAGGCTTAGGATGATAAGAACTTGGGGAAATGAAGTTCATGTTTGCATCTCTTCCCTTTCCCAGTCATTTCTGAACAATTCCACAGCTAAGAAGGAATGAAATACAGAATGAAAGAGAAAGTCTCATATTGTATGCATCATACACTGTAGAAAAATAGAGAGGTTATTGGTCAGAATGACTGCAGAGCTGGCAACATGCATGCTTCCATGTTTGTTCCTTCTAATTCTTCCCATAGCTTTATGACTCTAGCTATTTTAACTGTAAGGAAACAAGGCTCTCAAAAGTTTAAAATTTGTTCAAGACCACATTCAGCATATGACTGATAAATATCTGAAATCCAAACGTGTGTTCTTTGTACTGAAAAAGATGATCTTTTTCAAAGTTTTTTTTTGTTTTGATACAAGACTTTATGAATTAGACTTGTAAGAAGTCAGGGTAGGTCAGGTGGCAGTGGCTTATACCTGTAAACCTAGTTAGTTGGGATGCTGAGATCTGAGGATCATGGTTCAAACCCAGAGGGGACAGGAAAAGTCTGTGTGAGACCCTCATCTCCAGTTAACCACAAAAAGCCAGAAATAGAACTGTTTTTTAAATAGTAGAGTACTAGCATTGAGCAAAAGAACTCAGGGACAGTGCCCAGGCTTCAAGTTCAATCCCTGGTACCAAGCATGTGTGCACGTGCGTGGGTGTGCATGTGTGAGCACAAATGCACGCGCGTGTGCACACACACACACACACAAAGTCAGGATAGACAGCTTCATTCCATTTATTTAGGTTGTAAGAACAAGTTTCAAGTTCCCCAAAGCAAGGCCTCAGTACCCAGATTGTCTAAGGAAAAAGAAATTAGAATGGTACCCAGGCCCCACCAGTTTGTCACGGACAGGGTTTCTTGTTGGGAAAATCTTAGCCTCCACACCCAGAACTACTAGCTGAGGAGGTTATTAATGTCCCAGCTGAGGATGGAGAGTCCAGTGACCTGGACTTTGAATATCTCCTGGAAGATGCTGGGAGAGAGGCAGAGGAGCAAGGGGAGCTGCAACACAGAGGCGCAGAGGACTTCCCTATGGCCTTCTCTGAGTGGAGCTGTGCTCCCACTCTGCTCCTTTTCTCTAGAGCTGAAGGGAGAGACTTGGCGCCCTATCCCTGAGCAGCTGTTGAATCTTGGGAGTTGTTCATTCCATATCAAGTTCCCATCAGAGCTGCACAGGTACTGTGTTAATAAGGTAGATCTGGTTAGTTTTGTGTCTAACTGTGTGTTCCTTTCAGCTTCTTTTCTCTCCTTCTGGTGGCACTGTGGCTGGATGCTGTCCAGCATGGGAAGCTGGGAAGAAAACTGGGGCCTGATTCCTGGGAAAAACTCCAGAAGGGCAGGTCTGGGTTCTTATTGTGGCTCAGCTCCTTCCTAGCTGTCTCCAAGGCCTTGGGAAAGCCTTTCAACTACTTGGCTTTTCTCTCTCTACCTCCTGGGCACATTATCTGCCTGTGGTTGCTGCTGCTCTATTAAAGGATCTCCATGCAAACAGTCCCCATGCATGTCAGTTATGGTGAAGGTTCAATTATGGATAGATACAGAAGCAGACCTTGGGTCTTGGCCCAGCTACTGGAGTCCAACATTTGTATTTCTCTCATCTGAGAATCACGGAAGAAAGGTGTCTGGAGAGAAGTCTTGGATGTGACTTATTTAGGAGAGTTCATTTTCTTTTAAAAATAACCTTTATTTAACATGTGAATTACAGAAAACATATAAGCAAAGAACCAAATATTAGTCCCACAAACAATTCAGTTGGACATGACTGTCTAGATCCTCCATAGACACACACTAATCCCTTTTCGATAACTGATATCATATGGTATGTATCATCCTTTCCCAAAAGTTATGAATTCAACAATGCTGTTTATTTTTAGGAAAAGGAACAGAAATAGAAGGTCCTGCCCATTTTTCTCTTAGAGAAGTCATTTGGGTATTCTGAGGGTATTTTATTTTGGCAGGATTAGGAAATTGAAGTGAAAACTGGATCAAATGGTTACTTCATTTCCTATATGGCCTTCAAACTGTCTGACTTGTGAGTTGTCTGCCTCTGGCCTTGATCATTGGGAGCTGTGAATTTTGCTATTAAAAGTGAAGGACTCTTAAGGCTCACTCATTTGGTCTTTAGGACAGAGTACAGGGTCATCTCCTCCTGGGTGTTTCCATGGAGCGGAGGGCCAGAAGGCATTCTCGGTGAGGAGTTGGAGAGGGTGAGGACGGCATAGACAGTGCTCTCATTCTGGGTGAGCATCAAGAGAAGGTTAGACAGGAGACAGAACTGCCCCTGACTAGCAGCCTATATCCCAAGTGCCTTGCTCCCACCCAGCTCCCCATCCTTCACCCCACCTCCTCTCATCTCCTTTCTTTTAGAGCTTAGAGCTGCTTACCTTGGGGCTCTGTTGGGGCTCTGTATGTTGTCCTAGGGAGAAGAACACGAGGGAGTATTGAATGGAGGTGTGACAAGGAAGCACACAGATGGCAAAGGATGCCGGAGAGACAGCAGCTGCCAGGTTAAAGGCAGAGTCACGTGAGTGGGATGAGGTGAAGAGTGGGAGAGAGGAAAGGACTGAAAGGAGGGTGGTGTGCAGATGTATTTAGGGTGTTTGGAGAGAATGAAGGGCCAAGGGTAGAAATGGGGGAAAGATGGTATACAACTTACTTTCATAGGCAATATTTTCATATTTCTCTTCAGTGTTTTGAGAGACTTCCCTGCAGGGGCACAGGAGGATGGGAAGGATATTAGAGGCCAGTCATGAATGAATTCAGACTGATTCTATTTGAGGGGGTGTCTGCCACCTGCCCTGACACTCTCAGGGTGAACCTGAGGGTGTTAAGCTTTCAGAACAAGGCTGCCTGGAAGGTGAATAATGGAGAAACCCTTGGCAGCATGCCCCTCAGTACTAATCAAAGGTAGGTTATTTTATGCAAATGGCTTGCATAATGATGGAGGAGGGGAAGAGGGAACACAGGAAAAATGTGAAGTGCCAATGCTGTTTTCATCTGAATGCACTGCTTCTGCTAAAACTAGCAGAAACACACACACACACACACACACACACACACACACACACACACACAGAAAGGACAGTTTTAGGGCCCCCAGCAGGTGGGCAGGGTGGGTTCCTGGAAGGAAAGTGGAAGGAACTGCTGCTACCCTAAGAATGCATAAAGGCAGGGAGAGGAAGGTTGGAGGGAGACTTTGTGTAGTAAAAGTATGATTTTTTGTGTGTTTGTGTGTATGTGCCAGTACTGGGGATTGAAGTCAGAACCTGTATCCTTGCTTGCCTTTTTCAGATTTTCAGGTAGCCAGGACTACACATCTGACTTGCTGGTCTGATACTTTTTTTTTTTTTTTTGGTCGATCCTGGGGCTCTACCGCTTGAGCCACAGCACCACTTCCAGTTTTCTAGTGGTTTATTGCAGATAAGAGTCTCATGGACTCTCCTGCCCGGACTGGCTTTGAACCTCAATCCTCAGATCTCAGCCTCCTGAGTAGCTAGGATTACAGGCATGAGCCACCGGCGCCCGGCTTCTAACTGACACTTTATCATGTGAGCCACATTTGCACCTGTGGCTTTTGGCTGGTTAATTGGAGGTAAGAGTCTTTTGGAACCCTGATGCTGGTGGCTCAGGCCTATAATCCTGAGGATCACAGTTCAAAGCCATCACAGGTAGGAAAATCTGTGAGACCCTTATCTTCAATCAATCACTAGAAAACCGGAACTGGCACTGTGGCTCAAAGTATCAGAGCATAAGCCTTGAGCAAAAAGAGCAAAGGGACAGTACCCAACCCTGAGTTCAAGCTCCACGATCAACCAAAAAAACAAAACAAAACAACAACAACAAAAAAACCCTTCAGTTGGTCTGCCTGGGCTGGCTTTGAACCATGATCCTCAGTTCTCAGCCTTTTGAGTATTTAGGATTATAGTGCCTGACAAAGAATGGAAGAATGATAATGAAAAAGGGCAGGAGGAAAGGAAGGAGAGATGGGAGAGTGAAAAGGAAAGAGAGCTAGAAGAGCTGGAGCAGAGTATGCCTAGAGGGGCCGTAGTATGTTCATCAGAGGAAAGGATGTATGGGGCAGAAAGAAGAAAAATATAGGCTCAGTGGTAGAGTGCTTGCCTTGCATGCATGAGGCCCTGAGTTTGATTCCTCAGGACCACATAAATACAAAAAAATTAATAGAGTTAAAAAGAAGTGGGCTGGGAAGGTGGCTCAGTGGTAGAGCGCTTGCCTTGCATGTATGAGGCCTTGGGTTTGATTCCTCAGCACCACATAAGCAAAAAGAAAAAAGCCGGAAGTGGCGCTGTGGCTCAAGTGGTAGAGCGCTAGCCTTGAGCTGAAGAGCTGAGAGACAGCGCCCAAGCCCAGAGTTCAGGCCCCAAAACCGGACCCCCCCACAAAAAAAAGAAAGAAAAAAAAAGAAAAATATAGGTGAGAATCAATGGGCTGGAGATGTGGCTCAAATGGTAGAACATTGGCCTGTCAAGTTCAAGTCCCTGAGTTCAAACCCCAGGCACAGCCTCTTCTCTAAAGAGTCCATACCAAAAGCTAAAAAGAGAAGAGGGTAAGATGTGCCACGGAAGATGATTACATATAATGAAGCCTTTTAGTTAAGATATTCACCTATAAGATGTGGGGTGTTTGTGTGCACGCGCGTGCGTGCATGCACACCCACCCACCAAAGCTATCTTCAAACCATGATCCTCAGATCTCAACCTCCTGAATAGTTAGGATTACTGGCCATGAACCACAGGTGCTCAGATAATATATCTGTCTTATTTATTAGCACATGTTAATTGTACAAAGTAATTGGTTTCATTGTGATATTTTCCTACTTGTTTTTATAGGGGAAACTTGTAAAGAAGCCCCCCAAACCAGCACTTCTGTCCCACTGGCCACATATCTTTGGGAGGACAAATACTCACCCTGCTGGGGTTTGAGCCGTAGTTGTCTGTCCTGTAGAAGAAAAACATGGTGTAAGTATGATTTCCGTGTGATCCTCTGTCCCCCTCTTAACTGTGTCCTATGTTCAGACTAACCTTGAGGGAAACAGGGACATGGAGATGCTCTGCCCCAACCAGTCAGAGCAGTAAGCTGAGGCCAGCCATACTTGTCCTCTTACCCTCCATTACAAGTCCTAAGACAAGCCCTTCATTCCTGTCACTCTGCTTTTCTGTCTCTATTTTGTTGTTGTTGTTGGTTATGGGGCTTGAATTCAGGGCCTGGATGTTGTTCCTGAGCTTTTTGCTCTACCACTTTGAGTCATCATTCCATTTTCAGTTTTCTGGTGGGTGACTAGAGATGAGTCTTAAGGACTTTACTGCTGTGCTGGCTTCCAACTATGATCCTCTAATCTCAGTCTCCTGAATAGCTGGGATGACAGGCATGAGCCACCAGTGCCAGGCAGGTAACTTGCATTTTTAACAACCATCTTATATATTTATAATGCAAGTGCATTCTAAAACACACCCATTGAGAAGCACAATGAGAGGCCAACCCTGGGCCACTTACCTTTCCTTCTCCACCTGAGAAAGGCCATCAGTACTAGCACCCCAGTTATGAGCATAGCTGTTGCCACTGCCACCCCAACAATGGCTCCGAGACTCAGGGGCTGAGACTCTGAGACTGTGAAGCCAGCTGAGGTAACTTCAGAGGCTACACTGGTGCTTCTCTCAGTGGTGGTCTTCATCTGGGTGGTGGTCTTGATGGCTGGGGAAAGAAAGATCAGAAGTCAGCAGATTCTCCTGCAAGAGTGAGAATTTGTGAGTGACAGGTCAGATCTCATCTTGTTCAGAGGAATATGGAGAGGGGAGCAGTTCTCAGAGATCCACTCAGAGAGGAAGAGGGGGAGGCTTAGACTCCAGATGAGCAGGGCTGGGTAGAGGGATGCAAGTGTTAGAGCAGCTGCCTAGTAAGTGCCAGGCCTTGAGTTCAAACTCCAGTACCTCCAAACAAACAAACACAAAAGGATTCCAAACAACCAAGTTTAAATCCTGACTCTGTACCATTTTTCAATAGTGAATAAGAAGTCACTTCACTACTCAGAAATAAATCTCGGGGAGCTGGGCATTAGTGGCTCACACCTATAATCCTAGCTACTCAGGAGGCTGAGATCTGAGGATCGAGGTTCAAAGCCAGCTGAGGCAGGAAAGTCCATGAGACTCTTATCTGCAATACACCACTAGAAAACTGGAAGTGGTGCTGTGGCTCAAGTGGTAGAGTGCTGCCTTGAGCTGAAGAGTGCAGGGACAGCACCCAAGCCCAGAATTCAGGACCCATTACTGACAAAAAAAAAAAAAAAGGAAGAAGGAAAGAATGGAAGAAAGAAAGAAAGAAAGAAAGAAATAAGAGGAAATGTTATCTCAGAAGCCTCCTCCCTCATGGATTAACATGCTCTATCCCTAGGCAACACTAGGTCCATGTAGTAAAGGCAGCAAATGATCAGTCCCTACCCCCTTTCTCTGAGAGAGTACCCTGTTGGGATAGCTATGACCATATACTCCAAATCCTGGAGGTTATGTTAGTTAATTGGAAATCAGACTTTCATGGACTTTCCTTCCCGGGCTGACTTTGAACATTGCTCCTCAGATCTCAGCCTCCTCCATAGCAAGGCTGACAGGTGAGAGCCACTGGCATGGCTTGGCTAAACAGTGCTAGGCCAGCAAACAATGCTAGGCCAGCGGGGCTCACCCTGCAAGTGGGTGGACGCTGCAAAGGAGCACAGGTTGGCAGCTAAGAGACACAGTGACTAGAAGAACATGTGGGCTTGTATGGGAGAGGGGGCTCAACAAGAGGTGGAAGAAGAGAAGGGAAGGGAAAGGAGTAGCTGGGGCAGGGAGGGGTGAAAAAGTTACTCTGGGGAAAGGAGTGGGGAGGTTGAAGGTAAGGGTACAGGTGATGGTGTGGGGTTACAGCAGGCCCAGAGACCAAGGAGACGATCCATCAGATACCTGCTGTGCATTCTGGGATGATCAAGAGTTAATGCACATAACATAAAATGTAACAGAAGATAACATTACAAACAGTACACATTCTAGCAAAGTCAAATGAATCTGCAAGTCAGGGCACAGGGAGGACTGGAGTGGTTTTCTTTTCTTCCTTCCTTCTTTCCTTCCTTCCTTCCTTCCTTCCTTCTTTCCTTCCTTCCTTCCTTCCTTCCTTCCTTCCTTCCTTCCTTCCTT